ATGCCATTTTGTCTTATGGAAATGTTAACATCCTGTACTCATATGTTTGAATTTTGAATGACCTGTGTTTATCTGGTAGAAGGATAAATGTATGTAAAATCTTGAGGGAAGAATAATGACTCTGTTTTCACTGTAGGGAAGGTTAAAGCCCTATTTTCTGCAGACCAGAAGACATTACCTTGAAGTCCCCTTTGAGAAAAGGAATGCCATGTTGTCAAGGGAATGGTGAAGCCTATTTTATCACTGATTGAAGGACATTCTTCTTTTAGAAAATTTGAATTCCCTCTCAACATAAAGCTAAATGTGAACACCATGCCCACTAAGTATGAAGAAGTATCACCTAGAGCTTAGGTAAAAGCCAAATGCCTTCTCTTCTGACAGAGGAGTGAATGTCAGGTTGCGATGTGAGAATATGGTGAAGGGAATGTTCTAATGTGAAGATAGCAAGAAGGTCCTGTTCTCTCAAGAAGGAAGAGTTAATGCAGATTTCTTGAGTGATGGCAGAATGAATACTTTGTCCTCTGCATATCAAAGTTAGAACATACTGTACACATCTGACATAATGGTGATTGGTGTGCTGTCATGTAAGGTCTGGGTGACTGCAGGGCCCTCACATCACAATAGGGTGAAGGTCTTGTTATGTGATGGAAGGATAAAAATCCTGTCCTTACGATGGACGCTCGGATGTGGTGCCCTCATTTTTGGGAAAGTGAATGGCGAGCCTGCACCTGTCCTCTGCTGGAGGATGGAAGAACACATTATTCTCACATGGGTAGAAGATTCTATCATCCCTGGCAGGAAGGCTGGATACACTGTTCTCTGTGGAGAGAGGCATTCTCATGACCTATCTTGAGAGATAGTGAATGTCATTTCCTACCCTCATGGAATGGTGAAGTCTGTTTCCTCACTGGCAATAAGGTCAACTCTGCATCATCATGTGAGAGAATTTGAATGTCTTGTGCTCACAAAGGAAAGTGTAAACCCAGTGTCCACTACAGACTGAAGAATTATCAAGCAATATTAATTAAAGAAAGCAAAAGACCGACTCCTCATTTGACAGAAATATAAAGGCCATTTTGTAATGTGAGAATATGGTGACAGGAGTATCCTCTTGTGAAGATGGCCTTAAAATTCCTGTTTCCTCGTGATGGAAGGGTGAATGCAGAGTCCTCATGTAATGATGTGATGAATCTTCTGTTCTCTCCTAATTGAAGTTTGAACACTCTGTGCACTGCTGAGGGGACAGTGATTGATGTGTTGTCCTATGAGGGCTGGGTGAATGCAGGTTCCTCACATCAGAGTAGGGTGAAGGTCCTGTTATCATGTGATGGAAGGATGAATGCCTTGTCCTCAGCCATGTTGAGAAGTACCCTGTCACCTCACATGGAGGAAGTCTGAACGTGGTATCCTCAATGAATGGGAAGGTGAATGGTCTCTTTGGAGCTGATGGAAGAGGGAAATTCCTTTCCTCAATTGAAGGAAGCATGAACACATTTTCCTCACATGTTGAAAGGGTAGATTGTTCTCAGCTGATGAATGGGGAATGTGCTTCCTTCCTTGAGAGAAGAGTTGGAAGCCTCATTTGTTATGTAACAGGATGAAGGTCTTGTCCTCTCATGGTGACAGGGAGAAGATCATGTCTTCATGTGCTGGCATGGTCAGTGTCCTGTACTCAGCAAATGAAAGGTAGCATGGTTTCCTGAGTTATAAGGTTAGAGTGTATGACATTTTGTCCTGTGATGATAGTGTTAATGCCCTTTCATCACATGATGGACATTTGAATGTCATGTGTTTATTTGGTGGAACACTAGATGTACTTTACAATCCCAGGGAAAGAGTAAATGCTCTGTCCTTGTAAGACTGAATGTGCTATTCTTTGCAGATTAAAGGACATTGATTGGAATTCTCCTTTGAGATAGTAAATGCCTTCTCCTCACTAATTAAGAATGATGCCTTTTATCACTGGACAGAAGGGCAACCATGGCATTCTCATTTTAGAGAATTTGAATGCCTTCTCCACTCTGAGGGAAGTGTTAATGTCCATTTGTCCACTTGTGACTGAAAATTATCACCCAGTAATCACCTGAAGAAGGCCTTGTGCCTTCTGCTTCTCTGAGTTCAGGGTGAAGGGTGAAGACCATATTACAGTGTGAGAATATGGTGAAGGGAATGCCTTCATGTGAAGATGCAGTTCTTGTTCTCATGTGATGGAAGGGTGGATGGAGTGTCTGCAGGTAATGGTTAAAGGTGAGTATTATTTTATCCTGTTGGAAGTTTGAGCAGCCTCTGCCCTTGTGATTGAAGGATGATTGATATGTATCATGTTATGCCTGGGTGAATGCAGGTTCCTCACATCACAATAGGGTGAAGGTCTTGTTGTCATGTGATGGAGGGATGAATGAGTTGTCCTCAGCCATGGAGAGGTGAACTCTGTTACCTGAAATGTTGGAAGTTTGAATGTGGTGTCCTCATTGAATAGGAACATGAATGTCTTTTCTGTACCTGAGGAATGAGGGAATCTCCTGTATTCAACTGATGGATGCATGAACACCTTTTTTAAAAAAAAGATTTATTTTATTTACTTGAAAAACAGAGAGAGGTAGAGTGAGAGTGAGAGTGAGAGAGTGAGAGCGAGAGCGAGAGCGAGAGAGAGAGAGTCTTCATTCTGCTGGCTCACTCCCCAAATGACCACAGTGGCCAGAGCTGAACTGATCTGAAGTCAGGAGTCAGGAGCTTCTTCTGGGTCTCCCACGTGGGTGCAAAGGCCCAAGGACTTGGTCCATCTTCTACTGTTTCCCGGGCCATAGCAGAGAGCTATATCACATGTGGAATGGCTGGGCCTCGAGCCAACGCCCATATGAGATGCCTGCACCATAGGCCAGACTTTAACTCTCTGAGCCACAGTGCCAGTACTGTGTGAGCACCTTTTCCTTACCTAGTTGAAGCGTGGACTCCCTGTTCTCAGCTTATGGAAGGGGAATGGCCTTCTTCTTCTGAGGGAAGATGGACACATCATTTTTGGTGTCAGTAGAGTCAAAGCCATGTCTTCACATGGAGATAGGTGAAGATCAGGTTTTCACATGTTGAATGTCGGATGCCCCATCCTCTACATGGGAAAAGGAGGATGGCTTCTTCACCTATCAGCAAAGAGTAAGTGCCATTTTATCTCGTGATTGTGATGTGAATGCCTAGTCCTCACCTGATGAATGTGTGAATGCCCTGTTTAACTGTTGGGGTGATAGATGTATTTCACAATCCTGAAGGAAGAGTAAAGGCTCTGTCTTTGCTGGATGGAAGGCTGAGTGTCCTATTCATGATTTATGGGAGTTCACTTATTTGAACTCTTCTGTGAGATACAAAATGCCTTCTCATCACCTAATAGAAGGGTGACATCTGAGTCTTGTCAGGACAGAAGGGCAAACATGTTCTGTTCCTATAGAATTTCAGTACCCTTTACCTATAATGAAAGTGGGAGCCAAATGTTCACTACTGACTGAAGAATTATCACCCAGCACCCAACTGAAAAAGCCACATGTTTTTAGTTCATATGAGAGTTAAAGTCCATTTTTTCTTATCCAATTAAAATTTATTTTTTAGCAAAATTTATATGTTATACAAGTTTCCTGTATTCCACAATACAGCTTTAGAGAAGGCAATGTTTTAATGAAAGACAGGTGCATGGTGTGTCCTCATGTGAAGATAGCAAGAAAGTCTTCTAAGCAGGATCCTTAGTAATGTAAGTGAATGCTGTATCCTTTCCAAGTAAAAGACTATGCACTCTGTGCATATCCCGTGGGAGTGTGATTGAAGTGTTGTCATGTATGTTCTGGGAGAGTGCAGGGTCCTCACATCACAATAGGGTGAAGGTCATGTGATGGATATGTGGATGCCCTGTCCCCTGCTATCTAGAGGTGAAGGCTGTCATCTCACATATCTGACCTTTGAATTTGGTGTCCTCATTGGATGGCCTGTCTTCACCTGATGGAATAGGAAGGTCCTGCCCTCAAACTGAGGTAAGCATGAACACATTTTCCTCACATGGTGGAAGGGTGAGTTCTGTGATCTCAGGTCATGGTAGGGGAATGTCCTTGCTACCTGAGGGAAGTGTGGACACCTTGATGTTTCTTGTCAGTTGACTGAATGCCATGTCCTCACATGGTGAGAGGTGAAGGTCAGGTGTTCAAATGAAGGATTGGTGAATTCCCAGTTCTTGACTGAGGAAAAGGATGGTGTCTTGTTCACAAATGTGGGAAGGCTGAGTGCCATGTCTTTACCTGATGGAAATGGTAATGCCATTTCTTCTTGTGGTAGCATTGTTAACACTGTCATCACACAATGGAATTTTGAAGGCCATGTCTCCATTTAGTGGAATGGGATGCTGTTTCTCACACTTATGGGAAAAAATGTGTTGCCTTCATCTGAAGGAAGACTGAGTGCCTTGTTCCCTGATGATGGAAGGATAATCACATGAACACTCCTGTGGGATAGTGAGCACCATCATTTCTCCTAATGGAAGGGTGAAGAAAGTTTGTCATATGAGGGTTGGGGAAATGCAGGGTTCTCATATGATGATAGAGTGAAGTACATGTGGGCCTGTTATGGAAGGATGAACAAGCTGTCATGGGCATATAGAGGTGAACCCTGTACCCTGGCATGATGAAAATTTGAATGCTCTGTCCTAATTATGACATCAGGAAGGTGAAGGACCTGATGGAAGAGTGAAGATCTGATTGTTAGCAGGAACATGAATGCAGTTTCTACAGCTCATGGGAGAGTGAACTCTGTGGACTCAGCTGATGGAAGGTATAATGTGCTTTCTTTACATGAGGGATGGGTAGATTCCCTCATCTTATGGTTAAGTAGGTTGAAAGGTGCATCCCTTGATGGAAGGGACAGATTCTATGCTGATAGAAGAGTAATCAGTGGTACACTCCTGTGAAAATATTAACAGCTTCTCTTCACCTAAAGGGAGAAGTCTGACCTCGCTGGAGAGAAGAGCAAATGCCTTGTTCAAAGCTTACAGAATTTGAATGCCTTCTCATGGAGGGCTGTGGGAGCATCCTGTCCTCCACTGAATGAAAGATTGTTATCAGTGTTCACTGGATGGAACTGTGAATACCTGCTTAACAGATGGCATGTTGAAGGCCATGTCCCTATGGAGCAGTAAGGTGAATTTCATATTAGGTGAAGATAGGGTGAAGATCCTGTCCCCTCATGTGATAGAAGGGTGAATGAAAGGTACTCAGGTGATGGTAGGTAAATTTCCTGTTTCCCTTTTTGGAAAGCAAATTGCTCCAATGAGAAGGTGAATTCCGTGTACTCAGCCAATGGAAGAGGAAGCATCCTTTCTTCACCTGAGGGAAGGTTGGGCATCTTTATCCTATGTCTGTAGAGTGAATATAGTTTCCTCAAGGGGTGATGGGCGAAGGCCATGTCTTTATGTGAGAGAATTCTGAATACCCTGTCCTCAGTAGAAGGAAAGGAGAAGGCCATGTTGTTGCTTGATCGACATGTGAATGCCACTTCACCTTGTGATGGTAAGGCTAACATTCTTCCTCACAATGGAGGGTGAATGCCATGTCTTCACCTGGTGGAATGGTGAGTGCCCTTTCCAATCCTGAGGGCAGAGTAAATGCACTCTGATCACCTGAGGGAAATGTGAGTGCTATATACTCTGCTGATGGAAGAGCACTCATTGTGCTCACCTGTGAGATGGAACGCATCTTCCTCAGAAAATGTAAGTGTGAAGTTTCTGAACTCAGCAGGCAGAAAAGCAAGCACTGTGTTCTCAATTTACAAAAGTTTGAAAGGCATCTCCTGAGGGAAATGTGAACACCCTGTTTGCTGGATTATCCTAACCCAGTACTCACTTTCTTCTCACCTGACAGAAGGTTGTAGGTCACTCCCTAATGTGAGTGTAAGGTGGGTGCCATGTCCCGACATGAAGGCCTGGTGAAGGTCTTGTCCTGATGTGAGTTCTCAGTGTATGTGCAGTGCTCAGGAGATGGTAGGGTGAATGTCCGGCCCTTGTCTGCTAGAAAGCTAAAGGCCCTGTGCCAGTCTGATGGAAGGGTGAAGGAAGTGCCCTGTGAGTGTCAGGTGAATGCTGGTTCTGCACTTGATAATAGGGTCAAGGCTACTTGGTCACACCAACAGAAGGGTGACTTCTCTGTACTCCACTGTGGAGAGGTGAGCCCTCTGCCATACATGATGGAAGTGGGCAGGTGAATGCCTTCATTGCACCTGAAGGAAGGATGAAGGTCCTGTCCTCACCTGAGGGAGGTGTGACTGCAGTTTTCTCACCTGATGAGGGAACTCTGTGCAGGCAGTTGATTGAAGGGTGAATGTCCTTTCTTCACTGAGGGCAGGGTGGCCACCCTTATTTCATGTGTAAGTAGGAAGCAAGCCATGCCCTAACTTGGTGCAGATCATGTGAAGGAATGTTGACTGTCATGTCTTTGTTGAAACTGATTTGTTCTGAGAGGATTTGTTCTGAGAGGAAGAGCGTGGTGGGGGCAAGAGGCACAGAGTCACCTCACAGACCTCGGGAGTTGGGTGAAAACAGGCCAGAGGGGTGCAGCCCACAGACTCATTTATTTAAGTTGCTACAGCTGCTTATATAGCCAAGGCAGCCAATCTGGTCAAGGGGCGGTCTATGCCCTAACCAATCACAGCCTGTTGCCAGGCAGTTTCCAAAGCCATCCAATCACAGTTTGTTGCCAGCCAGGCTCTGTTGCCAGGCAGTTTCTGAAACCATCCAATCACAGCCTGTTGTGAGGCTCTGTTGCCATGTGGTTTCTGAAGCCATCCAATCATGGCCTGTTGCCAGGCAGTTTCTGTTGTCAGTGGCCATCTTGGCATGACCTTTTCACCTTCTCATGACCTTCTCACCTTCTCATTCCACCACATGTCTTCAAGTGCAGGAAGGAACAATGCCATGTCCTCACCAGATGGAATGCCATTTCATCTTTTGGTGCTAGGGTTAACACGCTGTACTCACATGATGGAAGGGTGGATGCATGTCTTCATCTATGGAATGGTGAATGCACTTTCCAATCCTGTGGGAAGAGTAGACACACTGTGCTCACATGAGAGAAATATCAATGTCCTCTTCTCCCTTCAACTTTGCTGTGGGATTCTGAACAGCTTTTCCTCACCAAATGGGTGAATTCTGTGTCCTCACTGGACAGAAGGGCACACTGTGCTGTTACCATACAGAAGTCTGCATGGTCCCTCCTCACACAGGGAAGTGTGAACACCCAGTCCTCTACTGACTGAGGAGTTATCACCCAATAACTTCCTGACACAAGGGTGAATGCCTTATCCTCACGTGATCTAATGGTGAAGTCCAAATAATAATGTGAGAGTAAGGTGAATGCCATGTCCTCATGTGAGGATAGGGTGAAGGTCCTGTCCTCACATGATGGCCATGTGGGTGATGAAGCATCAGGTTATGCTAGGGTGAATGCATTGTCACCTCCTCAGGGAAGGTTGAGTTGCCTTTGCTCATCTGACAGAAGGCTGGAGGTCATGTTTTCCTATCTGTGCTGGCTGAATGCAATGTCCTCACCTGATGATGGGTGAAGGTTGTGTTGTCATGGGAAGAGGAGTGAACACCCTGTCCTAGTTGATGGAAGGGTGATCAGAATCCCCTCACATTACAGAAGTTCAAATGCTGTGTCTTCAAAGAATGGGACAGTGCATTTCATGACCTCATGTGATGCAAGCATGAAGGTCGTGTTCTCAATTATTGAATGCAATTTTCATCACCTGTGGCAAGGCTGAGCTCACTGTACTCAGCTGGGCTTGCCTATGCATGAAAATACCATCTCAGTCCTGGGCAGCCCATGAGAACACGGAGCAGCAAGACACTTCAGTTTGGCTACCTCAGAGCCCCATGGGGGTACTTCTGGCCTCCACTCACCTTGCTAGTTAAAGAGTAATAGTGCTTGCTTCAGAATATGTTTTGGTCCATCCATGGGGCACACAGAGCCTGAGGAACAGTGGTTCCTGTATTCTCCTGTGGGGTGACTAGCACTGCCTCCTCCACCTTCAGTCAGAGGTCCAGGTCCCAAACATTTAATACCTTTTGGGGTTCACAAGACACACATGGGCCAGGGCTGGAAGCCATAGTGTAAAACCATTTCTTCATATGGTGATAGGGTGAAGGTCATGTCTTTATGCAAAACAGTCGTGAATTCCCTGCATTCAACTGAGGGAAGGTGTGTGTGTGGGGGTGCTGTGACCTCACCTGAGAGAAGGGTGAATGCCATTTCATCTGGTGATGGTAGAGTTAAGGTCTGGTCTCACAGGATGGAATGGTGGTTGTCCTGTCCCCCAGTTTTTTTTAAAAAGAAATATTAATTAATTAGAAGTCTGAGTTTGAGAGAGAGGGACAGGGAGAGATATATCTTCTGTGTGCTTGGTCACTCCCTAGATGGCCCAGGCCAGAGCCAGGAGAACCATCCTGGTCTCCCATGCAGGTGGCAAGGTCCCTATCCCTAGGGCCATTGTCATCTACTGTGTTCCCCTGTTCCCTTGCCATTTGCCATGAGCTGTAGAAGCTGAGACATGACCCAGTGCTGCTGGCATCACAGGTGGTCATTTTAAGTGCTACACCATAATGGGGGCCCCTCCTTGTGCTTCCCAAGGCAATGCTCAGTGCCCCTTTAAAGCTTGAGGATGGTTGAATGCACTGTTTTCACCCAATCCAAGCCTGAACACTATGTGCTTAAGTTATAGAAGGGTGAAATCTCTGTCTTTAGGTGAACAAGGCAAAACCTATGTCCTCACCTGGCAGAAAAGTGAATGTGCTCTCCTGATATTACTAAAGGAGATTGCATTGTCCACATCTGATGGAACTGTGGATGCCATATCTTCATGTGAAGGTAGGATGAACACCATGTTGCCACATGACAGCAGGGTAAGTGCCCTTCCTTATTTGAGAACAAAGTGGAATACCTTGACCTCTCCTGATGGAAAGGTAACCACCATGTCCTCTCTTGTTCAACTGGTGAATTCTATGTAGTCACCTGACTGTAGGTGAACACACCCTGTCCTCAATTAACATATGGGGGAATGCCATAGCCTCATATTAGTGTAGGTTGAAGTTCATGTGGTCAAGTGAAGGAACTGTGAACACCAAGTCCACAGAGCAGAAGTGTAAATGCCTTCTCCTCATTTGAAGGTGAGCTTGCGCCATCCTTAGCTTCTGGAAGAATGAATGCATTGTCCTCATCTGATGGAATGGTGATTGCAGTATGCTTATGTGAATGTAGGGTGAACTCCATGTCCTCAGGTGACATAAGGTGAACAATACGATATGTTATGGAAAGGTCGACTTCAAGTTCTCTCCTGACACCTGGTAAAGGCATGTCCCTCATAGGAGAGAAGGGTCAATGCTACCTCTTTACTTCATGGCAGAATGAATGCCCTGTCCTCATGTGATAGAAGGGTTAATGCCCTATCTTCATTGGATGGAAATGTTTTGTTCTTAGGGGACAAAATGGTGAATTCTGTTTGTGGGACAGAAGCAGGAAGGCTGTGACCTCACTCATTGGATTGGAAAAGGACACGAGGAACCAGGGTACTTCCTTCCATGTCTCTCAAGGGTGGTTCTCCTGTCTTTCTCCAAGAATTCTACCTTCAAACACCATCCATTTAGATTTCAGGTTCCAACAAGTCAATTCTGGGTGATACAGATAAACCATACCCTGGGAAAGACCATGTGAGGTCTTAGGGGTGTTAGTGATAGCAGGGGTAGGTGATAGGGAAATCCCTTGTGAGTCCTGATTGAGTTCATGTAGCCCTTGGGATGAAAGCATGAGGCACAGAAACCAGAGCCACTTTTAGTAATGGGTGGGGCGGCATCCCAGGAGAAGCCTGGTGTGCCCCCAGTAGCTCTCTTGGCCCAAGCTGGGTACACCCTTCCCTGTGGGATCAGCAGCGTAAGAGGGTGAGGAGGTAATGTCATCATCTGAGCAGGGAACAAGGCAGGGTCTAGAAGATCCCAGATTCCTGCTCAGGGACCATCCTGTGGATCAGATGGGCTGTCTGTGAAGCTGACCACTTCTGTGTTCCTTTCAGGAAAACCACAAGAATTGCTGACCAAGCATCTAGGCCTGATACAAGAGTTCCTGGGGTTCAGGCCTCACCCAACTCCTCAGAGGCACAAGCCGCTGTCAAGAGGACAGGTGGACCTCCCTGTTACTCCAATCTTCAGGAGTCACCCTGGGGCTCAGTTCCTGGCCCCTCATGATGGAAACTGCTGAATCCAAAATATTTGAGGTCACATCAGGGCAGGAGGAAGGCAGTGACAAAGAAGGCTCCCTAGAGTCCTGGCCCTGGCCTCTCACGGTGCACCTCAAAGACTGTGTCCATCCTGTAGCTCACAGATCCACATCAGCTCAGGCATGTTCCAGCTCCATCACAAGTTCCTCTTCTGAAGCTCACAGAACCCTGCAGGCTGGAAACTTCTGTTCCCCAGAGAGTAGCATCCACTAGAGACATGTCCTCTTCCATGTCTGTCCCAGTTCCGCTGCAACTGGGCCTCAACTTGTGTAGTGTCTACCTGAAGACAGGACCAAAGTCATATCACCTACTGTGGCCCTTGCAGTCTAAACCCTTCTGGCACAGTGACAGGTACAGGTGCCAGGCATGTGCAGGGAGAACTTCCCGTCTCCCCACTTCCTGGTAGCCTGTGTGTGGGCCTCCTCCTCCTCCATGGTGCAGGTTGTCATGTTTGCTGCTGGAGCTTGGCACCCCATCCACAGCCCAGGCAGGTCAGCAGCATGCTTCCCTGCCTCCTATCTAGGTAGAGCTCACAGAACACATCTCAGGGGTACAGTTCCCTGACCCTGATGGGATCAACCCAGCCTCATCTGTTGCTGGAAGACTGGATCGCCATGAGTCCCCCACAAGGGTGTGAGCACCAGGCCACTGAATGTCTTGTGTGCCTGGCCTGGCCTGTGTGTGAATTCAGTACCAGCTGTTCCTGTTGGAGCAGATCCTGGCTCCCTGGGGTTGCATGTGCATGAAAATACCAGCTCATTGCCTGGGCAGCCGTGAGAACATGGAACAGCAGTACACTTCAGTTTGGCTACCTCAGAGCCACACAGGGGGTACTTCTTGCCTCCTTCTTGCCTTGTTAGTTAAAGAGCAATAAAGTGTTTGCTTTAATATGCTTTGGTCCATTCTTGGGGCACACAGAGCCTGAGGTTAGTTCCATTCTTGGGGCACACAGAACCTGAGGAACAGTGGTTCCTTGTGGTTCTCCTTTGGGGTGACAGGTGCTGCATCTTCCACCTTCAGTCAGAGGTCCAGGTCCCAAACATTTAATACCTTTTGGGTTACCAAGCCACTAGGGGCCAGGGCTGTGTTGAGTGGTAACAAAGTCTGAGGTGCATGGGCATTGGGACAGTTCATGAGATTCTGTGGAACACACATGTTAGGGTCTGGAGTGACCACTTTGCACCTTCTAGGCTGGCCAGCTTCAGTGTCCACTCCTCTGTGGTTCTGTCTCATTGTGGCTCTCAGAATCCAGCCCTTCTTCTTCTTCTTCTGCTTCTTCTGCTTCTTCTGCTTCTGCTGCTTCTGCTGCTTCTTCTCCTTCTCCTTCTGCTTCTTCTGCTTCTGCTTCTTCTGCTTCAGCTTCCAAGGATGCCATAAACAAGAGTGTCAATTTGTTAAGTCAACAACAGGAGTCACTGTGCACTTACTCCTCATGTAGGATCTCTGTCCTTAATGTGGTGTTCAATGTGAATTAATGCTATAACTAGTACTCAGACAGTATCTTACACTCTATTTCAGTGTGGGTGCAAGCTATTGAAATCTTTACTTAATATATACTAAATTGATCTCCTGTATGTAAAGAGAATTGAAAATGAAACTTGATGTGAATGGAATGGAAGAGGGAGTGGGAGATGGAGGGTTTGCAGGTGGGAGGGAAGTTATGGAGGGAGGAAGCCATTTTAATCCATAAGCTGTACTTTGGAAATTTATATTTATTAAATAAAAGTGAAAAAAATGATCAGCAATAAAAAAAGGTTGGCCTCCTGTCTCCAATGCACTCAAGTGGAAAGAACCCAGGGTTAGCATCCGAAAAGAGGCAAAACTGGCTTAGTAAGCAAAGAAACTTGTTTCACCACTCTAGTTGATTGCCTCTAGAGTTCAAACCAGTAGGGAAATAGCAACCTCAGTCTTCACTCTACACTGTGAATCTCCCTCAGAAAGCAGCAAGGACAAACGCAGTTTCAAAGCACTTAAAAGTGACCACCATCCTGGAAGCCTGTGATGAGTGATCATCAATGCTGACTTCCATGCTATCACAAAAATATGTCCACAACTCACAACCTAAATAATTACAGAACTACTGTGTGCAGAACTGTGTGATTAATTCCATTGGATACTTGAAAATAAGTTTCATTAACCTTGTTTTTTCTGTAACTTCAATATAAGTTTTCTAACACTGAAAAAAAAAAAGAAGCTTCCAGGCCAGTTTGTGAGCTACTTAGTGTGTTTCTTTTTTCTCTTTTCCTTTCTTTTTTATTTATTTGACAGATGAGTTAGACAGTGAGAGGAAGAGACAGAGACAAAGGTCTTCGTTCTGTTGGTCCACCCCTAATGGCCACCATGGCCAGAGTTACGCTGATCCAAATCAAGAAGCCAGGTGCTTCTTCCTAGTCTCCCATGCAGGTGCAGGGGCCCAAGCACTTGGGCCATCCTCCACTGCACCCCCAGGCCACAGCAGAGAGCTTGGCTGGAAGAAGAGCAACCGGGACAGAATCTGGTGCCCATATGGGATGCTGGCACTGCAGGTGGAGGATTAACCAAGTGAGCCACAGCGCCGGCCCTGAATCCAGCACTTCTAAAATCTGATCCTGGGACAGGGCACAAAGGCAGCCCCAGAATACAGGCTAGGAATCCAATAGTGTCACAGTGACCCATGATACCAGATTGGTGTTGGTGGTTTATTTTGGTGGCTAGGAACCCAGCTAGGTCCCCTCAAGGAAGGAGAGCTCACCTTTGAAACTCAGGCAGTTGGATTCTGATTCTGTTTTCAGTGGGTTCAGCTTCCCCAGCTTATGCATATGTGTGGCAGGAGAGGCGATTCCAGCATGGGGACTAATGTTCCTTCATCTCTCCCCATGGGCTGCTGGGATGGGCCCAACATAAGCTTGCCCTCTCTCTTTCTTCCTAACACACAAGTTCATGGCCCTCTGTGCCCCCACGTGCAGGTAGCAGGCCTGGCAGACAGGATGACGGCTCAGCCCCTCCTCTGGGCACCTGCAGCCCAGAATGTAGGGGAAGAGGTTGCCCTCAAGCTACAGTCAGTGACAGTGTGAGGTCAACAGAGAGCCAGTCCTGTGGTTAGCTGTTTGGTGGGCAGACAGCATAGAAGGGGGACAGCTGAGGGCAGAGGTGAGCCCCTCTCTAGCAGTAGCAGGTGCTACGTGGGGAAGCCTGTGAGTGCCCTGGCAGGCCAGGGGTTGGCACACAGTGAGTTCCAGCCTCAGAAGGTCAGTGGCCGCAATGGGCCTGCTTTCCCAGTGTGCCAACATTATCACAGAGGTGCAGATGGACATGTCTGAATCTGGACTGCAACTGTAACATGTGAGTCTGAAAGTTCACCCACAGTCACCATGACAGTAGTAATGCACCACACTGATACTAGTGTTGTAAACTTAAAATTGTGGGGTCAAGGAATTCTTTGTTGAAATGGTACCAAGACAAATCTCTGTGAATGAATTGATTTCATGAGGAAAACTCTGATCACCGAATCCACAGGCCCGTCTCAGGCACTTCCCTGCTAAAGCTGTGTAAGTCCTGTTTTAGAGCACGGGCCTGGGACGGCACACACACAGTGCTGCTCAGGAAGCCACCCCCTGAATCTGCACATCAACTGTGTGTAGTGGAGTCCATCTTATTCATGTCAGCACCCTTGTGCGTCAGCTCCAGCACAGCCCTGGAAAATGCCAGGATCCAGCTTCCTGGCACCTGGGCCTCATACCTCCATACTGTCCTGGACTCCTGTAGCAAGTGTAACTTTGGGATCCCAGCACCTCAGACTGGGATCCCAGCTCCGTTGCTATAGGCCAAGTGTGTGCAACACAGGGAACTGTGGACCTGAATCACAACCACTCGGACTTGTGAGATGCACCACCCTCTGCAGGCCGTGTGTTTGTGTGTCCTTCCCCCGTTTTCCCTCGTCAAGCAATGGATAGCTGGTGACCACTGCAGCCTGGCCACTGCTGGTCTTGGATGCTTCTGTGCAGAGCGTGGCTTGCTGGGTCTGGCAGTGGAACCGGGGAGGAGCCACGAGCGCTGTGCAGGACCTGCCAGGTGCGACTGAACTGCCTGCCTTGGGAGCAAGGGAGGGGCCCTGGCGGGAAGGAGCCGGGGAGCAACGTCGAAAGCAGGTTTGCTGGCCCACCCTGTACTGGTTCTGTGTCCACCTGGGGCCCTCTATATCCAGCATGGCCACACTCAGGTTCGTCTACACCCGCACTCCCTACAGTGCAGTTCTGTCTAGAACCACGCATGTCTACATCAGCGCTCCTCCAAGCATGCTCTGTCCTGAGCCGCATGCATCCATCTGTGCTGGGTCTTCATCCCACTTGAGGCCTCCCGCCTTTGACCTTTGCTGCAGTAGCAGAGGAAGGCAGTTGGCGCCAAAGAGAAGTCCTGCCCCTTAGGGTTTCTTATTGGTCGGGCTCCAGTGGCGGCACAGCTGATTGGCTGCAGGACTTAACTGGCACGTGGACGCTGTCACATAGTGCTGGTGGCCTTCAGCTCTGAGGTGTTCTCAGACCAGGCTTCTGCGGGACTGGGGACGCAGCCGCCTGGAGGAACCTTGAGTCCCACGGTCAGCGTGGTGAGTCCTGGGCTTCCTGCTCTCTTGGCCGGTCCAACTGGGCCTCAGTGGATCCGGCCTCGCAGTTCCTCCCTCTGCTCAGTTTCTGGGGTCTCTGAGGGGTCGTTGGCGCTCCACGCTGGGCTGCTGGGTTTCTGCTCCAGTGCACAGGGTGCGTGGGCGCCCGTGGGACCCCTGTGCAGACCCTGGTCAAGGTCCTCGCGAGACTCGGCATTGGGCCTCTTGGGCGGTTCCCCATGGCCCTGGCTCGGAGTTTGCTCAGTCCTGGCCCGAGGGGCATTGCGGGAGGGGTCTGAGGCCCCCTGAGAGGCCTCGTGGAGCCCGCAGAGATCGCACCTGCGAGGGCCTGGGAGCACCTGAGGAGGCATCAGGTGTGGGAGCTGGCCCACCCGTGGGGGCTGCAGCTGAGGGCGCAGCTGGTGATTCCGTCTGCTGTTTGTGCCCATCAGGCCCGACACTGGTGGCAGAAGTGCATAGTTGGGATTTGGAGAGTGTGCGAAATCATCCCCATCTATTATTATGAAAGAAGAAGGTGGAGAGAATGAAACGTTGGGGAGATGAGTGCTTCATGAGCTCACTGACCCATTTGGGTTAATTAACGTGGTCCTTTGTAGTTTTACACGCTTCACCAGAGGGTGGTGTGGCTTTAACAGAATAGGCATGATCCTATCTGCTTTTCAGTGAATTCAGAATCGAGCTGCCTTCGGACCCGTTTCTGCAGGTATTTTATTTGGACATGAAGGACATTGAGGAGGAACTAGACCTAATTCTTATTTCCAAAAAAAAAAAAAAACCAGATTCAGAAGACATGACAGTTGATGTTTAATAAAGCATGAAGCAGTTTATGAATTCATACAAAAGATTAATTTTGTTTCAATTTTTAAAAATCCAATGGACAGAAAAGTCAGTGTTATTGCAGGCCACTCTAGCATGCGAAATTCTAACTGCCAATTGGTGAGGGGAGACAGCAAGAGAGATGGTAACAACTACAGAGCCAGCCCATTAGGCAACTTTGGGCAGGTGATTTGGTCTGAATTGTGGTCCAGTTACCTCTGAGGTGGCCTTTGACTCTGCTATATTAAACATCAAAAACTAAAGCAATCCCTCCTAGGGTCTTTGATTCCCATTCTCATTTGTTTATGTATTTATTTTAAAGAATCATTTATTTCTTTGAAAGTCAAGTTAGAGAGAGAGAGAGAGAGAGAGAGAGAGGTCTTCCGTCCTCTGGTTCACTCCCCAAATGGGCACAATGGCCAGAGCTGCACCAATCCGAAGTCAGGAGCCAGGAGCCAGGAGCTTTGTCTGAGTCTCCCACATGGGTGCAGAGGCCCAAACACTTGGGGCCATTTTCTACTGCTTTCCCAGGCCATAGCAGAAAGTTGGGTTGGAAGTGGAGCGGCCAAGTTTCAAACCAGCACCCATGCGGGATGCCAGCACTGTAGGCGGAGGTTTAACCTGCTGTGCAACAGCCATGTTCCTCCATTCTCATTCAAAATGCATGTTTAGCAAAGATGGCAGATTAAATTTTCCAGGGTTTAGAGCCCACCAGGGAAATGTATTCTTCCTGATGAACTTCCTCTTCACTGTGCTTGTGGTGCAGCCTTCCCAGGGGCTGCTGTCTCATGCCCTCAGCCACCTGGCTACCAACTGGGGACCATAAGTGCAGGTGAAGCTGGAGGGAGAGCACACAGCACAAATGTTCCCAGCTGGGAAAATCCTGCCTGTGGTCTAGCTTGGTTCCATCAGGGCATCTTTTGAATTCAGGAAGCAACTGGCAGCTTCGAGGCTCCTCAGCCCCTGTGCCTCTGGCTGAGCTCTACCATTGCAGGCAAAGACACCTGAGCGCCTCACCCTGCCCTTGAGGACACACCACCCACAAAGGCGCATTACCAGTGGGAAATGAATGGTGCCCCGTGAGAGTGATGATGTGGCCTCCTGAGATCCAGCACTGTGCTGTGCTGTGCCGGCACCGAGAGTGAGGCCCCTGGTTAAGAGACCCCCAGGCAGCAAGGGAAGCCCCAGGGAGCTCACCTCCCCCATCTCAGCTGCAGTGTCCATGGTGCAG